ACCCTTGCATCTGCGCAGCGTGCCCGCATATGCCAGCATTGGCCAAGATCCCCGCTGCCTCGCCCTGCTTGCCTATATGCCAGTGCAGCGTGTGGTCGGCCTCCCTTCAGCCTGTGACCGGGACCCAGAGGCTGAAGCCAACTCGATACAGTTGGGCCCCGGGGTAAGGCAGTTGGCCTCCTTCATCAAGGCCTGCGGCCAGATTCAGACAGTGGGCCGATTTCCATTTGGCATTTTCAGCCTCTCTTCCCAGCATGCATTGTCGGCCTCACGTTCAGATGCCCAGGGCCTAACCAACTCAGAGGCCCTGGGCTTTCAGCATTTGCTGAAATCCGAGACTCGGTGCACTCCAACCAACTGGCGTGCTGCAACTGTATGGACCCCACTTCGTGAAATGTTGCACAGAGGGCTCTTATCGATTTGCTGGCCCGCCTTCACTTAGGGAGGGCACTAGGCTTGCTGGGGCCTTAGCCCAGAACATGTACATCATGGCAAGGCCCCTACTTGAGGGCTCAATCCTCACATATCCCATCAACCGCACATAAATCGCCAAAGAAGGATTTTGCGGCGGTGAGGGAAAAGGCAGAGGGGAGGTGGGGTGGGGAGCGGGATGGTTGAGTGAGGGGGGGAACTGGGAAAGGAAAATTAAAAAAAAGGGTTTAACGCTTTCAGCTTGCTGCATGGATTTACTCTCGCTGACCCACTACATACAATATCATACTCTTCCCAAAATAAAAAATACCCAGCCCATGTCGTCTCCGATGAACACAATAAAAAAAAAGGAAAATAGTTGATGGTACACACATATAACTGTTAGTAAACAGGTCGTGAGTTTGATCAGAATTCCCAAATATGAAGTTCTATCAGGTCGTGATTTCCATCGTGAATTCTCCTTAAAAAAAAAAAAAAAAAAAACTGTTTTTTTTAATCCATGATCCATTGATGTGGTGATTGCTCAATCAGCCTTCCAAGTTCCAACCGATTGCTTGCATCGGGTTTTTCAGGGCTTTTCTTTTTCCTCTACCTTTCTTACCTTTCTTTTTGTTTCTTTTTTGTGGTTCTTTTCTGTTCAACAGAACAGATACTACACTTGATCTCAGCCAAATGGCCGAGAAAGGTATATTAGGATGTCGCTGCTTCTCACTCACTCTCTCCCTTTCTCTGGGTTCCTTTCACCGTTTTCGAGACTTCCTGATGTTATTTTATGCTACTTAGGTTCCCAGTGTAATCCCTCCCCCTCCCAGCCGTCACGCTACTTACTTAGGTTCACAGTGTACTCCCTCCCCCTCCCAGCCGTCAACAGATTTCAAATTTCAGACAGGGCGCATGAATTTTACGTCCTAACTCCTAAAACCCTCCTCAAGAGGGCCAAAGAAAAATAAAAATCACGCATAGAGAGATCAAGAAAGCAAAGCAAACGTCTCATGGACAGAGAACAGGGACCAAAAGAGAGAGAGAGAGAGAGAGAGAAAGAGAGAGAGAGAAAGAGAGAGAGAGAGAGAGAGAGAGGGAAAAGCAGAGACGGATTGCGTGGCCAGCAGAAAGGCGGACACGAGAAAGAGACGGCTGATAGATAAGATTAGGGGTCTCTTTCCAAAACACAAAAACAAAAACAAAAAAATTAAGGGCAGCATGGCAAAGGAGGAGGGGTTTTGTAAGAAAGATGTAGAGGCGAAAACAAGGGGAAAGAAAGACAGGTCCAACAAATTTAAAAAAGAAAAATCAGAAAAAAAAACATCGCTCGGGTAGAAGAAGTGTAAGCAGAGAGAGAGTGAAGGAAGAAAGAAAGGGTGAGCGAAGTTGAGATGCTCCGGAAAAAAACAAGAGAGAGTGAAGGAAGAAAGAGGGCTTGAACAGATACAACGCTCAAAGAAAATAAAAAGAGAGAGAAAGAGAGAGACAAGACACAAGGAGAGTGACCAAAGTAATCAGCTCAAGGAAGGAGGCCACGACAAGGAGAGGGAGAGAGAGAGAGAGAGTGTGTGAGCCAAAAGAAGCAGGGAACACGTACCGCTGTATCACCGGCGAGACCAAGGCAGATGGCACAGACGAGGGTGCTCTTTCCAGATCCATTGGGTCCCAACACGAGGTTTAATCGTGGGGCTGGGGAGGATCGAACTTTGGTGTATGTCATGAAATTCTCCAACTCCACCTCCATAATACTTCCTGGACGAAAATTTTCCTCATCCCTGAGAAAACAACGACGCTTTAGGTCACATTCATACTGGTGACATTTGCACTCACTCTTTCGACAGCATGCCCGTAACTGCGCTCACATACGTCCGAACGCGCAAGGCCTTAGCGTATCTTTTTTGCCCTTCTTGTACATTCAATAACACAGTAGAGCAGGTGGAGGGAGGAACAGAGAGAGAAGAAGAGAGCGACAAAGGTAGGTCACCAGACATGGCTCGATGCTACAACACAAGGGTGAAGTGTTATTATTAAGTAATAACAATCAATCTCCTCTCGTCTATCCATGGAAGGATTTCCAGGGTCACGAGTTCAAATCCTTAACCTTATTATGGATAGAATAATCACAATATGAGTGACAAATTTGAAGGCCATGAGTTTAAATCCTTGCCCTTGTAGACAGAATAATAATACGCGTGACATGTCAAATCACTTTGGGGGGAAGGGAAAAACAAACACAGAGGGGATGGAGGAGACGAAGAAGGGCAAGAAACTTGTCGCTCTCAAGAATTTCACCGTTCAACCGATGTTGTTTTGTTTTTTCAGACAGCCAACAGGTTTGAGATCGATGATCGCCTCTTCTTTTGTTTTCCTTTTCTTTGGAAGGATTTTTTCTCAAGTGAAAGTGAGAAAAGATCAAACGTACACAAACAATGACATCCTAATAGCCAGCAACAGAAGGCCAAAATAATGAAATAATGAAACAATGAAACAACATTTGGAACAAACAAAAACACGTAATTTAGAAAAACCGCATTACTAAAGAGGGCCAAAAAAAACAAAACGAAAAGGACCCAGAGGGAAGATAGCAAGAACCCAGCCATGGCCCCTCACACTCATACCAGGGACGGGGGGGGGGGGTTGGGGGGGGGTTGGCAGGGGGGGGAAGAGGGGAGAGGGGCGCGTACTAACACTCGTGGGAGACCCAAAAGAGGGAATGACAAGGAGAGAGTTCCTTGCCTATGTCGACCGTAGTAGGGGTAGAATGCTCGCAGCACGGCCTATTCCTATTCAGATGCATGCAGGAGTAGTCCGTTAGTGTGAGTATGCCCCTTACCGGACTACTGCATGCATCTGACTACTCCCGCATGCATCTGACTACTACTGCACGCATCTGACTACTTCAGGGGCATACTCACACTAACGGACTACTCCTGCATGCATCTGACCGGAATTTCGCCATGACCTGGATGCATCTGAACCAATTATGTCCTAGTGTGAGCACGATATAACACCCGTAGAACGGGGAGTCTTTATCTTTTTTCATACGGAAATACACGAATTGTTTTTTTGAATTCTTTGCTCCTTTTCTGTTCCTATTTCAAAATCTACTGGGAACTTTCCAACGTCTCTCGGTCAAAAGTTGTTCAGAATGACAAAAACCCTATTACATAGATTTTGTCAGAGAACTTTTCGAATTTTTTTTTCGCTGCGAACAACCGAACTCCCCCCCCCCCCCCCCCCCCCCCCCCCCCCAACAACAACAACACACAGATGATGAGCTGAGGGACCTCCACAGACGACCCCGTACATCCCTCCATACTACGGTCTTCCCCCGAACAGAGAACGCACCCTGTTATTAATGATTCTATAAAAGCTATCTTTCCGATCTGTTAAAGCCGTGACGAGGGTGCCTTGCGTTCGCGGGAATGCGGTAGGCTTGGCCAAAAGCCACCATAACGATTCTATAAAGGCTATCTTTCCGATCTGTTAAAGCCGTGACGAGGGTGCCTTGCGTTCGCGGGAATGCGGTAGGCTTGGCCAAAAGCCACCATTACGGAGAAGAAAGCCGAAGGGTAAGTTAGGAAAGTACAGTCCAGAGAGTTCCAAAGAGAAGAAAATAAAAGGACGACGCTTGAATGAGGAGAGGGCAGGAAGAGCAAGGACAGGAGGAGCAGTAGTGGAAGAGACAAACAGTACCGGAGTATGGATAAGACGGCAGTGTCACAACAGATGACGTAAGGAGCTAGAAGGTTAATGGGAGAGCTGAGTATGAGTAGCTATGGAGATATTGCGGAAGATACAGAGAGAAGAAAATACAGACGGCGATATCTACAAGGTACCCAAACGACGCGGGGTGGTGGGAGAAACAAAAAAAAAAAAAAAGCAAGAGGGGGAAACAGTTTCGGGACTAGAATGCAAAGCCACAAAAAAGCCACGATAGTAGTGGAGAGGACAACACAAAGCAGGAGGTGCATCTTTGAGGAACACGATAGAAGACCAAGAACAACGGAGGAAAGGTTCCCCCAGATGTATTACGCAACTACAGGCAACAAGAGCGCTAGAATCGAAGGGCGCTCATTGGAACACCCGTTAAAATAGGAGGAGAGCTAGAAGAGCGAGGACAAGGCAAGGGAGAAAGAGAGGAAAGAGAGGAGGAGAAAGGGAGAGAGAGGGAAGGGAGAAGGAGAAAGGGCAGAGAGAGACGGGAGCGAGAGGAGAGAGGAGAGAGACAGATGGAGGGAAGAGGCAAAGGAGAAAGAGGGAGGGAACGAGAAAGAGGATCAGATCCAGCAGTGAGTTCATTTCGGCGGGTGAAAAAAAACATTACAGAAAAAACAGAGAACGGGAAGCAACAACGCCAGAGCCCCTCCTCTTGGTGGGTAATCATGAATACAGCCAGAAAACCAGGAATAAGGGGGACAACAACGAACGCATCTGGCCACTACGAACTGAATGGTACAACACGAGAGGAATGGTTGATAAACAGAATCGAAGAGAGGACAAACCTCCCAAGAAACAATTAAAGAAAGAGAGAAGATCAAGGGCTCGCCCTTTAATTTTAAAGAAAAAAAAAAACAGAGCCCCGCTTTTTCCGAGTCATAAGGTCGCCACAAGCCATAGTCAGTCCGAGTAATACAATAATACGATCGTGATGAGGCTCAGCGTTATGTCCACATGTGATGGATGATGATCTGATCCGTTTGTTGCTTTACAATGATTTCTCCAAATGCATATAACACGTGCTCGGAATAACAAGTTCTAGACCGAATATTGTTTGCATTTACCGTAATTGCAAATGCATCCATGGAAGTCTTGTACAGAGTATTAATCTGCTGCTTTTCACACGGTACTTTACTCTAGTAGAGATAATAGAGCAACAGAAACGTGCGCGGTGCGTGGTCTGCTGACGTTTTCTCCTTTTTCTTCTTTTATTATTATCCTTTCTTTTTTCATTTTTCGTTCTTTTTTTTTGTTGTTGTTGTTTTTTTCCCTTTTTCTCCTTTTCTTTTTTCCCTTTTTCCGTTCTCTTTTTCACGAAATGTCTCTTTCTTTTTTTCCGTTCTTTTTTTTTTTTTTTGGGTAGCTGCTGACGTAGGCGATCGGCTGCAAATGGAAGGTTGGACCTGTGTGCGTCTATCACATTGCCGGTTGGATTGGAGGACAGAGGAGGAGGGACAAACTGCGAATGGTAGGGGGGTTCTCGACTAAATCTACCGTCAGATAACTTCACGAAAATATGGCTGACCGAGTGTGAGTATATTCCCTTCACCATCTGCTTCTCTGTTTTCCTTCCGACTGAATCTGGCCGTACTTGCCGTGAGATAACTTCACGAAAATATGGCTGACCGACTGTAAGTATATTCCCTTCATCATCTGCTTCTCTGTTTTCCTTCATTTCCGTACATGCATCTGTACGATCGCGTACAAATAGGACGACAGGCGTAAATGTATCTGATCCACTTTAGCATGCTATCCGGAACTGCACACACACATACATACATGTGTGTGCTCCTTTCATACTGTCCGTTAGTATCCGTTCCGTTTAAAGAGAGTTATAAACCCGCTACATCACATAAGATATGTGTCGTATACTATCCGTTATTATCTGTTAGAAGACGACTAATCCGTTACATCAGATAGATACGTGTCTTCTAATCCGTTATTGCACATAGAAACGAGTGCGTCAAGCATACTATCCGTTACTATCCGTTACTATCCGTTACTATACTTTCCTATCCGTTACTTCCCGTTAGAAGAAGACAACTGATCCGCCGTTTTCACGACACGTAGGCACATGTGGACGCATGGCTTACTATCAGTTAGAAGGCACCTGACCCGCAACAACTGTCCATGCATACATGACTTCGTCTAGAATTTTACTTGACTATCCGTTACTATCAGTGACTGTCCGTTAGAAGACAACTGATCCACAATCGAGGGTCCACAACTAATTAAGGAATCGCGCTGAATCCGGGTGTTGACTATATGGGGGGGGTCTCTACCATGCCATCGCGGCAGCATAAGGTTGTTCGACATCAGCAAGTCAAAACAGACGCAATTGTCGATGCCTTCGCTACAAATGCGAGCCATCGGGTTTACCGTCAAACGGCTTTTTTTAACGTACGGACAAAAAGCACGGCCACAACTCATAAAACAAACCAAAAAAAAAAGAAAAAAAAAAAAAACACAGGCACGGCCAACTCACGATCCGAAAGCCGAGGGTGGGTTACCTGCCAAACGTTTTTTTCGCATCCTCAAGGAAAGTTCTCGCTGTGATATCGCTCGAACGTCTCCTACCGCAGACAACTCTAACAAAGTTATTCGCGTTCAGAATGTATGTGCCCGCAGACAATGCCGACAAAGTCATTCGCGTTCAGCAGAATGTATGTGGCCAAAACTTGGCCAGATTCACTGGACGGACGAAGGCCTTGAATGACAGTGATCGTGTCAGTTGGCCGCTTTCAGCTTTCCCATCTGCAGTATGACAGCTGTCAATTCCACAGCTTCCTCACTCAAAGCCGGCGGGAAAACTGGAACAGGGGCTGCCATACTAAAAACCGCACACAGACTATCTCGCAAGGGTTTTAGCTGAAAGCGGAGAAGCGGAACTTGGAAGAAGAAGTTGGTAGAGCTCGCAAGGCCCGTAGCGTTCAGGTCGTAAATTCAAATCCTACTCCCTCCCCGCCACTGCACCGAGCAGAGCAAAACGGAATAAGGTAGTCCCTCCTCGCCAATGCACCGAGCAGAGCAAAACGGAATAAGTAGATAAACGTAGAAGATTAAGGTAGAACGGTGAAAGGAATAAGTCCTTCGGGACATCCGTCAAAAAATTGGAACCATACAGAAAGAAGATTAATTAGCATGCCCCCTTCGAAAGGACGACACGCATAAATCGAGAGGAGGAAGGTAGAGAAAGGTAGATAGAAGTAGATGAACGTGGATAGAGGTAGACAACGGTAAATAAAGGTAGATAAGCATAGATAACGTAGAGAGAGAACAAAGGTACATTAAAGCAGAAAGAGATACGTATACCGAAAGGGGGGAAATAGGGCCTCGATCCGCTAGTCACGTCACGACACGACACGCACAAAAGGCAAAAAAACATGGCGGTGTATCTTCTTCCCATGTTCTAGCGGAAGAGTCGCTCTCATTTTGCACATTTTGTTAGTGAAGCGAGGCCCATTTAGCTGCTGCTGCCAAAGGGAGGTTTCAACGCAAAACTGACCGCAAAAATGACCGCAAAAGTGAGGATTGATCCATTTACTCTTCTCCCGCCAAGATCGATTTACAGCGCCTTTTCCCTCGCCACATCTATTTTTTCTTCGTTTTTTCCACTTTTGACCTAATTTTAAATCCACTGTCACCTAATCTCAAATCCACTATCACCCAATCTTCAAATCCAATGTCACCTATTTCCCAATGCGATCAGTCTACTGAGAGTCCGAAAACAACACTCGCCTTCCACGACCCCCCTGGTCATACCACTACCTTTTGTTTGTTTTTTGTTCGTTTTTTGTTTGTTTGTTTTTCGTTTGTTTTTTTTTTGGTTTTTTTTTGTGTTTTTCCCTACCACTACCCATTACAGGAAGCCGGCCCTTTTCTATAGTTAGTCAGTTTCTTGGATTAACCATCCGATGGCCACGATGGCCAACAACGGGGCTTCTTTATCTGGACCTCGCCACACCACTCAGGAAACGAAAACAAGGACTTGCATTTTCCCGCAGAAGGTGGCTAGATTCATCCGTTACTATTTTCATAGCAACGCATGGTTTTTTCCAGCTTCTGTGGAAATATGCGCTCGCATTCATCTCCTCTCGTGAGAGGTGTGGCGAGTTGTCCCAAAAAAACGGGTCCGATCTTCCTTGGCGCTGGATACAAGAGGGGAGGCGGTATAAGGGCCGCAATGCTGCTCATTTTCTCGTTCTTGGGGATTTCCTTGTTCTTTCTCATTCCTAGGTATTTGCTTTTTAGAAATTGATACATTTGTCAAAAACGAACAATACCGATGTGCCAGACCTTCGATTGAAACCTGCCGCCGTCAAACGGTGCGTCAGAGGCAACCTCGGGTTTCTTTTCCTATTAACATTGACATAATAATAATAATAATAATATTAATAATACGATATGTCATAAATAGAAGAACAGTAATCGTAGACAAGCAACTTCGTTGGTGTTTTTCACCTCCGCATGAAACTTGTTTTCACACCCAGGAAGAGAGAGAGACAGCAAGAAGAGAGACATAAGGAGAGAGAGAGAGAGAGTCTGTTGCTGCGAGGGAGAGACGACAACAAGTTCCATAGCCCGGAAGAGAAAGGAAAAAAATTGAGTGGCGGAATATTGCAGTAAGACTTGATTGGCAGAATGCTACAGTAAGACTTGATTGCCACGTCATCCGACTGCTGCAATCCACCATATCGCCGAACTTTTATTTGCTCGTTTGCCCCTACCACGATCCCCAGCGATTCCACGCCGCTCAATCGATCACCATATCCCCCGCACCGAGCACCCAAGCCATTGACAAGATAGCGAGAGAGGGAGAGAGAAAGAGACTGCGACGGAGAGGTAGGAACTCGTACAAAGTACGAGATAGGGAGAGGAAAAGAACAGAATGTGGACTTGGTTGCCACGTCATCCGACCGCTGGAATCTGCCATAACCACTGAGGCTTCGTTTATTTCTCTCGCCTAAGCATGGAAAATTCCCTCCGATTCCACAACGATAGATCGGTCGGTCGATCGGTCGGTCGATCGGTCGGTCGATCGGTCGGTCAATCGGTCGGTCGATCGATCGATCGGTCGATCGGTCGATCGGTCGATCGGTCGGTCGGTCGATCGGTCGGTCGGTCGATCGGTCGGTCGGTCGATCGGTCGATCGACCAACCGACCGCCCGACCGCTCGGCCGTTCGACCGACAGGTCGATAGGGATCACCATATCCCGCAACATCACTCAAGCCCTAGATCGTCATCATCATCCGCCGAATCCACAGGCCATCTATTTCTAAAATGTCATACCTTAATCATGCGCTAGCTGTTCGAGGATAACACAGAGAAAGGGAGGGAGACAGAGAGAGCAAGAGGGACACAGAGAGAGAGAGAGAGAAAACGGTGGGAGAAAGACAAGGACATGAGACTCGAACCTGCGACATATCCGACGCCTTTTCGCAGTTGATTGCTCCTCGTCGCCATTTTCCATCGCGCGTCCAAAGCCTTTCATCTTCGCTCCAAAGCGAGCACTTAAGCAGGCACGTGTCACGTCAATTTATCCTCATAGTTATCTACTCTCCGCACTCTGTACAATCATCGACATCGCCATTTCCCCTTCGACATCGCCATTTCCCCTTCGACATCGCCATTTCCCCTTCGACATCGCCATTTCCCCTTCAACCGATGGCGATCCCCTAAGAACTACGAAGGCAGGACAGCCATTGTTTCCCTCAATCAAGGTCCTCTCTCTCTCTCTCTCTCTCTCTCTCTCTCTCTCTCTCTCTCTCTCTCTCTCTCTCTCGCACGCACAAATAAGTCCCACTGACGATAACGAAGCCAGCAATGACCGACGAAACGAAAACGTCGAAGAATCACATTGCCTTGGAGCGCAGATGGAGAGAAAATATGAAAATGAGAGAAAGCAATCAGCAGGCCACTAATAGAATTACGTGGCCATGTGCGTGACGACTGTCAGCTTGAATCATCCAGATGCGCTATCCTGCGATGACAGCCACGTGACGCCAGCCCCACACAGAAATCCCATCACAATTCCGCTCCCCTGCCACGTGGTGCCAGCCCCAAAAGAGGTTACCGTTAGAAGGGTTGGAGGGGCACGAGACTGTAGTTGCATGCACAACCCACCGTTCACAAGCGCAACGAGCAGAAGACTGGTTGGTGGATCCCCTAACGAACATAGAATACGAGAAGTCTCACTCGTTACTCAATGCAGGAGGTAGCTCTCCAAAATTGGCAAAAGTGATGACTTAGGGGGGGGCGGAGGTAGCTCTCCACTGCCTGCTGCCTGCTGCATGCTGCCCGCTCTTCGAATCAACGAAGTTCACTGACCGGACTTGCGACCCTTTCCTCCGTCCTTCGAGGCTACTGGTCCTTGGTTCCACGTTAAGCTATCCTTCGTCCTTAGCCGTCCATCGTCGGAATTGTACGGTCCGGATGGACGAGCGATGCGGGAAACTGGGAGCTCCCCTCCAACTCTCCATGAAGCGGCTGGAAGGCTGGGGAATCTCGGTCGCCTCATAGTAGCCGTCGAATGCAGGACGTGCTGGTTGAGCCCTCGAGCGCGGGCCTGCCGCGGCGCTGGGAGCGCAGTTGGTCCCGCGTGGTACCGACGGACCGCCGGGGCTGGGTCCCACACCAGTGGCGCTGGCCTATTGCATCGATAGATACTGAAACTTGAAATGAAAAACGCGCGCCAGCGGGGACTCGACCCCAGCGCCGGGGCTAGGTCCCATTTACACGATTAAGCTACGTTGACCGTCGATAGCAAAGATCAACGGCCAGGTTCTCGTAATCCGTGCAAGTGGGACCTTGCCCCCGACCTCGAGGCCGCCAAGCGGAAAAAGGGCCTAGCTCCACTACTCACCAAATGTGCAAAATGGTAAAGAATCGTCTCCTAAACATGGGAAGATACACGGCCATATTGTTTGTCTTTTGTGGACGTGGTGAGTAGTGGAGCGAGGTCCAAACAAGTTGTGTTGTGTATCCCAAAAATTAAAAAAATTAAAAAAAGTTGTGTTGTGTGTGTGTCAAGGGAGCTTGCAGGTGAAGGACAAAAAGCAGGCGCGCTCAGCGTGAGCGTGCGCGCCAAACAGCAGGCGACGCTCAGGCGCCAACGACGACCGCGGCAATTGGCAGAAAAGGCGGGAGAGCGGGAAACGACGCGCGCAAGTTGAAAACGAACGAAAAAGAAAACGGGAAAAAAAAGAGGTGGTCCTTCGCATAAATCGAGAAATGGTCCAAATAAAAAATAAAAATAAAAGGAGGTGCCAAGCGCCAAGTCCACGCCAGCGGTGGCTGAATGCTCCACACATATAGCTGTTTATCGCGAGTTCAAATCGATGGTTTGTGGCCAAGAAGGGTGACCCAGCTTCAACTTGCGCAAGTCCTGGACGTCTGCTGGGGCATAGGACATTTAGGCGCTGTGGGCTATTTAGGGCGTGAGGGCCCGTCATGGTCCGTGCCCATTTTCCATGCCTTGGCCAAGACCTCCAGTGAAGCATGGCAGATTCCCACCGAAGACTCCGACAGAGAAGTCGGATGCATAGCGGTGAGTTGTTCACAGCAGACGCCTGCAGAGAAGACGGATGCATGGCAGGTTGGCAGATGGCCAGATGAGCCAGGTGATTTTCGGACGAGACTGGGACGAGAATCTGGCACAGGTATGCCTGGTTAGTAGACTGTATAATGGTAAGATTATCCGGTGTAGCCCAGATTGACTTACCGTGAGGGCACGGGTGCGCAGCCCGTAGTTCGTTTGTTTATGTGGTTCAGGAAGGGTAAGGTATTATGCTGTATGTATGTTTTGTCATGTTCGCTATACACAACTCGAAGAGAGTGTGCGTTTGGGTTCCCGGTTGGTGCTTTATTCACGATGTTCATGGGACGCTGGACCCAGTTTCCAGCAGGTGGCACTCCCCATCAATAGACAGGAGAATGTATGTGTGTGTGT